GGGGGAAACTCCCCTTTTTTTTTTTTTTTTTTTGAAAGCAGCAAACCTGTCAGGATACTGGAGAGGATCTCCTCTTCCCAACAATCTGATAGACCTGGGCAAGCCCCCATGGCCTGCAGGCCTGGCCAGTCCCACTCTGACTGGCTGGAGGTCACATGCAGCCTGGAATACACCAGTGATAGCTTGCCCCATGGCCAATGTTTTGCACCCTTTGCGTGATTGAGGACAGGGTCTCCCAAGTCAAGCCTTGCCTTACTTTGCTCAGTGGCACAGAGAATCCCCCATGTTCTGGGATGGAACATGGCAACACTGGACTCAGAACTCTTTATACCACCTTCTCCCTGCAGCCAATGGGAATCCTGTCCATCCTTGAAGAGGAGTGCATGTTCCCGAAAGCCTCCGACATGTCATTCAAAGCTAAACTCTATGACAACCACATTGGGAAGTCACCCAACTTCCAGAAGCCTCGGCCGGATAAAAAGCGGAAATATGAGGCCCACTTTGAGCTTGTGCACTATGCTGGTGTGGTACGTCCCCTGTCAGCTCTCCCACAGCATCCACACCTTCCCCTGGCAGGGCTGTCCTTACCTTTGTCTCTCCTCTGCTGTCAGGTGCCATACAACATTGTTGGGTGGCTGGACAAGAACAAGGACCCCTTGAATGAGACAGTGGTGACTGTCTTCCAAAAATCCCAAAACAAGCTGCTGGCCTCGCTCTATGAGAACTACGTGAGCTCTACTTCAGGTGAGGAACAACCTCACCCCTTTTTTGACCTCAATCTCTCACTCGCTTTGCAACAAAACCCTCTTACCCCCACGCCCAGCCATTGGTGCAGCATTCCTGCACCTAGCAGCCCGGGCAAAGGGAAGACCCACATTGACCCCTAAAAGCCTCACTGACCTGGCTAGGTGGGTACTCTGGACAGGCAGTGCTGGCCTAGGGGCTTTAGGTGGGTGATTAGGACCAGGCTGAGCTTGTGCAGTGCTGTAGAGCTGTCCTGGTGGCCCTGTGACTTGGGATGTGTGAAGTGATCTATTGTTACCAAGAGCTGAGGAGTGACACCCAGAGTTGGGTGCTGTGGGAGATGTTTTTGGTGGTCTACAGCTTTCCTCTGCAGCAGGGCACTACCATCTCTGCTTTACAGAGAGCAGGGGCTGTGGGTGTTTTGAGATTGTTTGGGGCTGCTCCTGAGTCCTCCAAGCCAAGCAGAGGTTTTGCTGATTTAATTAATCAATATTTCAACCCAACAGAGGAACTTCACAAGCCAGGGACCAAGGAAAAACGTAAAAAGGCAGCTTCTTTCCAAACAGTGTCGCAGCTGCACAAGGTAAGAGCCAGCCCCTCATCCGAGGCCGTGAGGGAAGCATGCTCAGGGTGTCCCAGCATCACTCCCACTTCCCTGGGGTATTTTGCACATGAGCTCCTGGAGCCTGAAGGACCTCCAGGGCTCCTGAAGGACCACCACTTGGCAAAAGCTCCTAACACCCTCTCATTCTTGGGCAAGTGGCCTGTGCCTGGCAGAGTCCCAGCCCTGTCCTTGTGCTGCTAGAGAAGGACACGAGGCTCCAGGCTGGGAGAGCGATGGCTCCATGTGAGCTGGGGCTTGTGCTGCTTCTGCCCGCGTGATGCTTGTGCTGCTCGGCAGTTCCTTCGCCTTTGAGAGAGCGGCAGTTAAGACTTGTAGTGATGTTTAGATAATGTATTACATGAACATCACTTTAAGTCTGTGCTACTTCTCTCCTCATTCTTGTCGGCGGGAAGGACAGCCTTTGGGCAGAAGAAAATGGAGGAGGATCTTACGGGTCTCTAAGCAGGCAGCTCTCTGCTGTTCTGTTCAGGGAGGTGACCTGAGCTATTTTACAGCTCAGGATAACAAACACCCCTGTTCCCATGCTCACCACAGGAGTTATTTGTCCACCCCAAAGCTTAAGCAACTGGAAAATAGCACAGAGGGGTGTGTGAGCCCAAAGCTGTGTCCTGCCATGACAGCCCTGTGGTGACAGGGTGCTCAAAGAGGGCAGTGCTTGTGTCACAGCCCCTGTCCAGGGAGATGTGTGATTTTCCTCCTCCTGGACAAGTGACAGGCCTTGGGGAAAGGGGTGTCTGTGGCGAGAAGTTCCCCCGTGATGATGTGGAGCTGTGGGAAGGCTTTCCCTTCTCCGAGCTGGTCCTGGACAGGCTGAGGCTGGAGGAGCAGGGGAAGGCAGCCTGGAAAGAGCGAGGGTGGAGATGCCCTTCCCACAAGAAAAGGCAAGGCCATGTCTGGGCTCGAGC